CAGGTTCTGGTTCTGGTTCTGCTCTGCATCCCCAGAACCAGAACCAAATGAGGAGAAGCAGCTTTCAGCATCTATGCACCAAAAATTTGGAACAAACTTCCAGAAAACTGTAAAACAGCAGAAACCCTGACTTCCTTTAAATCTAAACTAAAAAAAACACCTGTTTAGAGTTGTATTTGAAATGTAATCAATTCAAAATGTAGTGATGGAACTTGACTTAATGTATTTATTCTATGTTGCATGACTTTGTGTTTTTGTGTTTATGATGTGAAGCACTTTGAAATGCCTTGCTGCTGAAATGTGCTATACTAATAAAATTTGATTGATTAATTAAAGGGTGGTTCCTAAGAATGTGAAGGGGTAAAACCTAAAAAAAAAGGCAGTTAAAAGAAACAAGGGTAACACTTTATTTTACGGGGCATGGATAAGTCTGACATAACACCTGTCATGAACATAAAGGAGTCTTTATGAATGTCTATGACTGTTGTCATGCAATGTGTTTTGGAAAATAATGACACTTTTAATGCAAAGTTGCTCTAGAAGTTGCATTGAAAGTCAATTAAAAGTGTCATTCTTTGAATGTACAGCATTAAGTGGTCACATGTACTAAAATCAAAAGCTATTTCAATCAAACACATCTTAACGGACAGAGTTACATGTTAAACATATGACCCCTTGTTTGATATCACCAGCACAATTTTTGCATCCATTGAACTTGTGAGTTTGTGGAAAGTTTCTGTTTGAATTTATTTGCACGGTGTCAGAATACCTAACCAGAGCTGCTGTTTGATATGAACTGCATTCCACCCTCAGATCTTCTGCTTGAGAAAACTCCAAAGGTTCTCAATAGGGTCAGAAGTCAGAGAAGGATGGTGACACACCTTGAGTTTCTCCCCTTTATGCCTATAGCAGCCAGTGACACAGCGGTATTCCTTGCAGCATGAGATGGTGCGTTGTAATGCATGAAGATGATTTTGCGTACGGCTCTTCAGAAAGTCCATGTACTTTGCTAAGATCATTTTCACACCTTCAGGAGCTCTGAAGGTGTGAATTTCAAACAAATTCTCTCAGTCACTATGTTAGTCTTTTTTTTGAAATGGCAGGGATCTGAAGGTGCCGACCAACTTTCTCTCCCCATGATTTTGGCCCAAAAATGACTTCACCACCTCCTTGCTGACATCACAGCCGTGTTGGGACGTGGTGGCCATCTGCCACCAATCCACTACTGCATCCATCTGGACCATCCAGGGTTGGAGAGCATTCATCATATAACAAGTCTGTTTGAAAACAATCTTCTTGTACGGCTGGGCCCACTGCAACTGTTTCTGCTTGTGAACTGGTTAGTAGGTTCATGCACCGCAAGCCTTTGAGGATCTCCACCTTGAGGTTCCAAAGGCACCAACAGCTTCAAATAACTGTTTGCTGCTTTGTAAGGGCATTTTAACAGCTGCTCTCTTAATCCATGAATTTAAACAACAGAAATCTTCCTCATTATGCCTTTATCTGTACAAACCCATCATTGTTCTGAATCAGCCACATATCACTTCACAGTATGGTAACACTTCAGTTTTCATTAGATATCTAATGTTTCATACCTTGTCCTAAAGCACTACACTATCTGATGATTTTTGTCAGCAGTGATCCTTTCTCTTTCCCATATTGCTTGAAACCTGTGGCCTGCTTAATAATGTGGAACATCCTTCTTAAGTAGATTTCCTTTAGTTGAGCTCACCAGACAAACTGATCAACCAGCTCTCTGAAATTAATTATAGCGATTCAAAGAGTCCTGACGCACTATACCATCCATAAATTTCATAGCACAACAAAAACACTTAATCTTTATGACACTTAAATCCAATTGGTATAATAATTTGGAACACAGTGTGCATAGTGCTTTTGCACTTCAACATCAGCTACATTTTTTTAAATGAAAGTGCCATTAGTGCATTCAACACATGTGTTCTGTGCTCCAGAAAGGAAAAGGCCTCTGGATATTCTGAAGTTATGAAGCCCCCGTAAAGATGGACATTTAGATAGCTCTGGGGCCTCAAGGAATACACACAAGATGATCTGCTGCTACAGTTTACCAACATCTGAAAAAATACAAAATTGGAATATTAATTCATGTGTGGGCCAAAATGCCTTACCTCTGACAAAAAAGTGGGAAAAAAAAGCACCCGGCTGAAATGGGTGTGTAACAGGTTGGCCTTTTACGGCTGGATTTTTCAGTGCAGATAGATGATATCAGGCAGAGTTTAGGTGGAACAGCAGGTTTATTCCTCCCAGCATCACAAACAATAAGTCACACTCTTGGTCTCACAAATCTCAATGTCTCAATATCTGTCTCACAGGTGAAAATTACAATCTTAAATAGTCCCAGCTGTGACAGTTAAAACAATCTGAAAATTCATAAGGTAATCCCATCTTACCCTGTCCCCCTTAATTGAATAAAATAAATTTTACTATAAACACATCAACTTCCTTTTTATAAATATTTTTTTTATGTTTTATCCTTACCCTTACTAAAACACCATAAAACAGTACACCATAAAACAGTACACCCCTCTCCCATTCTTCTCAATGGTCTCTCCCAGGACCTATATCATTGTCCAGCGCCTTAGGACAATATTTGTCCAAACATCCTGAGAGGACAGAGAAAAGACAGGTGAGTCACTATATTAGCACATTCCATACCTAATAAATTATGCACATCATTTATTTAGTTTTATCCACCCATAGCTCATTGCTCTGAGTACCAATTATCCTCTCTTCACAGTTAACCACCTCCACTGGCCAATGAGGAGCAGCTGTGCAGAGCCCAGAACTACTCAATAAATACAATTAAAACTTCCTGAGTGCAAAATGTTATTAATTTATAGATCTATTTTAAAAGTGCAGTGCTAAATAAAGTGCATAGTGAGAAAGTGCAAATGTTTTTACAGTGCTATACAATACATTGAATAAATTAATTCAGTAATGAAGGCCTCTTCATTACAGGGTGCCTCTATTTGGTGTTACAAGTTTCATAGTACAGCAATATTTAATTCATTAATATGGCTTTTCTGATGAGGTTGTATGTTAGATTAAAAGGGCTTTTTGAAAATAATCTTTAACCAGGTATTAAGCATACATTTCACTGCTGATGTAATATTCTAATCTTAAATGCCATGTTTCCATTAGTCGTAACCAAGAAATAAACGCAAAGACAAGCTTTAAAACATCAGCCTGTGCAAATAATATGTAATGAGTTTATTTGTGAGCTGAGTCACAAAAATAAATTAACTTTTCATTTCCAATATAATTGTTTAAATATGAGTTGGAACACAAGCGTTAGCGTTAGCTTACCTTGCAACCTGTGAGCCACCTCCATAGGAATCCCAAAGCCTCAATGTGAAGCCGACTTAGCGGCAGCTTTGTCCAAACTATTAAAAGCCTGACAGTGACCTCTGTGTCTATGAGAGCCTCTAACTGAAACATGTTCTGTATGAGCGTCCACACAAAAAAAACCCCAACAAAGTCAGGAGTTATAGAGTTATTTTCTAATGAAGTTGCTAAACAATCAATGATAAACTGATCATAGGTCAGTATTTTTGTTAAGGCTAGTAGAGGTTTGAGCTGCATAGTGTACTGCTAAACGACCAATAGGCAGAAGTTGAGGCCTTAATACACTGCCTCTCCTGATAAAGAGGTAGAAATACATATGGCAAAGTAAAAAGAGGAGACAAGGAAACACAAAATCAACAAAATACATTTCTTGATTGAAAAATGAATAAATATAAGAAAATGAATTATAAAATATTCACATTTCTGCTTTTATTTTTAATTATGTCAGTTTGGGGCCTCCATAGGATGGCACCACAAGAAAGAAGTCTATTCACATACTCTTCAATTTCATATTGCAAAACTTGCAATATGAATATCAAGACAGAACAGAGTTAATGGACTTAAACAGATCATGCTTGTGTTTTGCATTATTTCAGAGATGGGTAGTTGCTCACTTTCGTGTGGAATTTGAGTTTTTCAAGTTGACAAAGAACATGGATGTTGTTGAAATAATATTTTAAATTAGCACAATACTGCACAGGATAGTTTTGATACATATGAAATATACCATAGAAAGTTAAAGTACACTCTACGTTCACATAAATTTAGATAAAGATCCAAACTAAAACAACTGCTGAATCTCTGAACTTATATAAATTCTTAGGGAGAATTCTACAGAAAAAGGCCTAGAATCTCTTTAGACAGAGTCTGTCTGCCAGGCAATTAACGAATTCCTTAGCATGGTTCAAAAGTTCACTAGGATCTTAAAACTTTTTATAAATAATTTTATCTATATTAGAATTAAATATATTTCTTTAAGCATGTTTTGCTTAAAGCATTGCTCTTTCTCCCTGGACACGTATACAGACGCAAGAATTCGGGACAAAGAAGAATTAATTAAAGAGCTAAATCAAGTTAATCCTCTTTTTAATTCTTAACAATGTCAAAGTAAACAAATGGTGTATTAATGATGTGTCAGTTTTTGCTTTTGGGTTTTTAGAATCTAAAGTGTGTTGTAAAGGCAATTTCAACTCAAAATCTGTTTTTCTTTCTTTTATCTAATTAGTGTGTACTATGTGCTACATACCTCCATATGTACCACACATCCTGGGAGACACCTCTCTGCTTTATGTAGAGAGCTTCAGCCAGCACTCCCTTGCATCCCATGATTATGTCACTGTGTGGTTGAGGCAAGCATCACGTCGCATCCGTTGAAAGATAACACGCAATGCTCCCCGTCATGTCAGACTAAATGATAAGCAGTGTCCGCTCAGGCAGCCAGAGCCCCCTGCCATCAGTTCGCATGCAGATGCCCTTGTCGCCCTTTGGTCAAGTGGCCAGTCACCACACGGTGGCCTAATTTATTTTTACATGCTAAATGTCGCAACACATGTATGCTGCGCAGCGACCGGAAATAACGTGTTTCTTCACAACTTTTTTCCAATTTATACACTTACCTTTGCGAATGTGATCTTCGATCACCTGGTCGAAGCCAAGCCGGTGGCATTTCCTCCACAACCCCATGTTGGTGGAGTTATACTGCCTGCTGCATTCGTCTGCGGCGCTCATGGCGAACAGCTGCCTTCGGTTTCGGGCCAGTAGCACCTTGTCCTCCCAGCGAGGCATGCTGACTCGGCTGGCCCGCAGCGGCAGGCTGTTGTTGGGGATATAGATAAAGCCCGGGTCCTTACGGCGGCTGGAGAAACTTCGGCATCGCTCCTTGTACCTTCTGGCGTCTGTCTCGTACCAATGATCCGAGCACATCGCCACGGCGAGCATGCCCAAGGCACAAAGAGACAAGGAGAGCCCGGTGTAGAGCAACAACTTCCCGGCGGCCATACTCACTGCTGTCACAGCCGCATCAGCACCTCGACAGACGGACAGCTCCTCTGCAGCTTCACTCCGATTCAACTCACATCATCTTTGAAGAGCAGCGGAATCATCATCCAAAAATGGTGTTAGATGGAAGGGAGAAGACTTCCTTTAGCAAGGCTCCAAAAACAATAGGCTATGAAATTCCAGTAGTAAGGTGCCCACGTCTTTCCTGTGCGCGCCTTTCTGCAGCAGCTCGATGTAGACACAGAGGACGCTATCTCATCCCAAAGCATCCATCTGTCTGAGGGCGACACCAACAAGCACGCAACACATCAGGATGGAAGCCAGGATTGAAGTTATTCACCAGAAAACTAGCATCGCTGGGATGGATGAACTACACAATCAGATGGGAATTAAATCAATTTAACTGAAAAGAATCTAACAGTAGGCTATAGACAAATCAAGAGAACTGTTCAACAGAATTCAGCTGCATGGGCCTCTTAGGTTAATATACATGCAGGTTACCTGATGAGTAATCACAAATCAAGCTCAAGTCATCACCAGACTGCAACCACGACACGTCTGATGTGATGACGACAGCTGCCACAGAGAAGCCCTGAGCATGGACGAATCAGGAGCATGCGTGAAGAAACGCTACAGCTTTATCTCTCTTATTTGATGCAGTTGTCCAATTCATAAATTAAACATTATGCCTTCAAGTTAAAAACACTGAAATGAAGAACAAACACAATTCACAAACTTGATTGTTGTGGCCGCTTAAAGGCAGTAAACAACAAACAAACCAAAAACAAAACAAGTAGGACTTTGACTTCCCAAAAATTGCTGTTTCTGCTGCTCAGGGTGCTGATCTGAGACTGTAGTTGTTAAAGAGACCATAAGTCGCTGGTTATGAAATAAGCTACTTTTATACTTAATAAAATACAATTTTATTTAGTAAAATTTTATTTAAAATAAAATGCTAAATAAAAATTCTGACTGTCTAATCACCATGTCAGACTGCTTTAAAGCTCAAAAGAGCTCAGTGTCAGGTTTTGTAGATGTTTGGAGTTGGACCCAAATGCAGGAAACTGAGGCAGCCAGTGAATTATGAGATTTCATGAAGTGTAAAGAAAGCAAACTTACAAAGATCAATTAGAGAACTGAAAAAACACAAACCAAGGAAAGAAAACCAGCAAGGAGAACACAAGACAGCATGAGGACCTGATGAGACAACTGGTGCTCAACTGATGAGCCAATTGACTGCAGGGGAGAGTGGTTGGATCAGGAGCCGGGTTGAGGGGTAAGCAGAAGTTGGCACAGAGAAGCTGGGAAGGTGCAAAGGAGAACAGAAAAGAGCAAGGGAGAAAACACAAGGAAGCTAGAAATAATTTTAACACTAAAGAAACATTTAGAGTAAAAAAAATGTGATGAACTAGAAAGAGAGGAAACTGTAACAGAAACTAGGCTGACCTAATAATAATGAGAACTGAGGAACACAGAAAGTAGGAAAAACAAAAGAACTAAACAAAGAAATAAATGTAACTAGACTAGCATATACTACAAGGGCAGACATAGACCTAACAAATAATCAGGAAGAGTAAAACAAAAAGTGAACTAAAACATAACTGATAAATAAAAGAGGAACAGCAAAATCACCAAAGTACACTAAACCAAACCAAAAAACCCAGAGTCTTGACACAGATGGGTGAATTCTACATAACTTTTCATTGTTAGTGCCTCTGAGAGATGTAAAATTATAAGACTGACATATATCAAGGCAAAGAAAACTGCTGATAGGTGCATCCAGACATTCAGCAGCTCCTATAAATGGTTGAATTATAACACAGACCATAGACCTAAAACTTTAGACATAGACAGATTTTATTGTCATTTAGCATTCATTTATTGGGAATGACAATGCTATTAAATCTTATTTAATGGTTTCAGCAGAGATAAAATAAAAAATTAAATTGCATAGGATTTATTTAGGAAGTTTACCTTGTAAAAGACAAACAATAATCTTGATAGTTTGATTATTGTGTTACCATGGCTACAGTAAGGTTGTCTGTAAATCTTTGTGTTTGACCTGGGTTTATTCACAAATATAGCACCACAAACATTGTCCAATAATTAGTACTTAATGTCATGCTTGGCCAATTAACCTCAGCCCCCTCTCTCATACTTAAATCTACTTTTAAACAGTTAGTGATGCTGATGTTCTTAGTGAGAATGGGGAAACCTGGCGAAATCACATTCTGAATCTGCAGAATCTTTCTTTAGCAGTAACTCATTCAGAGCAGCTCACTTCCAGCCCAGATCCCGTCAGCAGCAGTGCAAACCCGCCTGGTAGTAACATTCGGTTAATGTCAAACTGTTGTGTTCCGGGGTTCTTTGGTTTTTCTTGTGGGGTTCTGCCTGCTGCTATTCACTATCTAGCCACCAGATAGCACTAAACTCACCTGTCTCTGAGTTGCGTGTTGTCATCCTGCTTGCCTGAGTCCAATCTGCTCGTTAAGCGAGGAGTACAAGAGGAGCAGACTGCCAGTACTTTATGCCTGAGTGTTAGCCAGTAACGGTACAGCTGAGCCTCCTAGAGCTAGTCTCCATTCTCCTCGTTGCTTTGTTCTACTAGTGATTTCTCTGTTGTTCTCTGTTCTCAGGTGTTTTCCTCCTGGGACTTCCTGGATCCTTCTTGTGAGATCTACGTGGCTTGTCAGATCAAGACTTCCTCGTGACGCCGTGGAACTTACCCACTGGTTGCCTGAGTTTCCAGACTCACCTCCTCCGTCTGTTTGCAAGTTCTACTCCTCTGTTTCCCTCCGCCTGAATTTACCTGTCCGCCCTCCGATGCACTCCCTTGTTGCCCTCTGGACTCCCATGGCTAAGCGCTGGCTCTCCTGGACCCACAAGGAAGCAAGGACCCCGGACACCTCAGCTATCCCTCCCAAACTGCGAACTCCTGTTCTACAAGTAAAAAGACCTTTCAAGTTTACCCCCATAACTTCTGTTTCCTACAGTCTGTGAACTCACCATCACTTTGCTGTGCTTTTCAGTGTGCCGACCACTCCGTGAGCCTTTTCCCCTCCTGGACCAGACTCATTATCTCACTGTCTTCACTTATTGTTCACTTTCACTCCTGTATCGTGTTCTGCATGTAGGCTAAGAATATAGACTCAAACATGACAGAAACAGTCAGCAGCCCATACCGGGGCGTTGAGGTGCCTCACAGTGAAGTCATAAAGTTTTTTTTTTTTTTTTTTTTTTTTTTTTTTTGTCAGTATGTCTGATTCTGACCCACAGCATTTCTGAAATGCCTTGTGAAAAAGCCTTCATTAAGAAAGTATTTTTTACAACTCCAAAATATTCTGTAACTTAGAATTAGTCTTTTAGATTGCTCAGGCATGAGTTTGAACAATTCTATCTTAAAATCTGTCTTCAATTTTTGAAGGCTCTGGGGATTCATAACTTCAGATTTTTGTTTTTTTCATAGATTTACAATTCAAGCCAGGAGACCAAGTGGGCAATTTTTACACTTTACTTTCTGACTCATCGGTTAGGAATTTCTTAGGTTTTGTTTTCAAGATATTGTCCTGCTTGGACAGCCACACTTATTTCAACTTCTGATTCTTGCCAAGAATGTCCTACTAGATTTCTCCACTCATTGTTTTAACAAGAATGTCTAAGAAAATTGGAATAGGCCTATTTGAAAAAGTTATATTTTTCATTCATGTCAGAAAGTCAAATTCAAATACTTTTATACACAGAGTGAAATACTTCAAGATTATATTTGTAATTTTGAAGATAATTAAAAATGACAATTTAATGTCTGACACCCAGTGCTTTACAGGCAGATGATGCAATTTTAAACATTTTTAATTGGGAGAAAAATCTATTTGAAATTAGTATTGATTTGGGTGGTGTGTTCATAAGCAAACCACCTAAATCTGCTTTTAAATAATGTCTTAAATAGCATGCATTTCCAAAGGATGCGCAGCATAACTCTTGTTCTGATAGCTGAGTATACTTAGTTTGTTTCTATTTTTCAATTGAGCCTAAAAACGTTTGAAAAATCTTCCTTTTGATGAAACACTTTTTTTAAGTTTTGGAAAATCATCTAATTACTTTCATAGGCCAAGTATATATTTTTTAAATTGGTACCAGAACAAGTAGGGAAAAAAAACATAGCTATTACAGCAAAAAGCTTAAAAGAGGTGATATAAAGATACCTCCAAGGATCATTCAGTTTCTCAAAAAATTAACAGTTATGAGTGGACAAATATAGAAGTTGCATAATGAGAGGTTCCCTTATCACATCTTTCTAAATGATGGGGAAACACCAGACAGTGGTGTGTGTAGGAGGAGTCAGACACATGACTGCGTAAATCAAGATTAAATTCTTTTCATTGAGCTTGACGCCTACAGCGATTAAATAGAAATTTGCAATAAAGAACGAGGGAAACCTCCTGTCCACTAGATGGCGGTAATTGCATTCAAAGTTTGATCTGCTAAGCAATATCAGAGGAGGAAGTACGGTGCGGGTGAGCTTGTTGTGAAGGTTGAAACAGTCAAAGTAAGCTAGCAGAGTAAAGATAATGAGACCGTAGGGGCTTACCAGCCTCACCGCCACAGGATCAGGTAGGTGAAGTTTAAAAGCTGATTAATAACCTTACAAGTTGTTAGAGTTGGTAAACGAAACATGACTGCGTATCAATGAGTTAGCACGTGTGACACTTGAGAGGCGTAAACTGGAGCTCAGTCAGCTATAAATTATCCGAGGAGTCGGATGGTTTTTATCACATCCACAGCCAACAGGGGACGAAAAGAAAAACAGAACTAAAAAATAAACATTTCTATTTGCTAAATGCAAAAATAATGAGAAAAAGAATATGTCACACATTTACTAATTAATATAGTGCGATTATTATTGCATTAAACAATGTTTGACTCAAGTAATATAATTTAAAGGCGATGCTACCAAATACCTAGGAAATGTATAAAAACTTAGATTCTTTGACATATTCTCTCATTGTTGCTTTCATTAAATGCAAACATTGTATGTGATTCTAACTAACATTTACAAAAACAAGTTTTGTCTGACTTAACTTCAGACGGTGAGAAAAACGTGGATATGCCTTTCTGTAAATGTCTGGTTTCAACTGTATTATATAGCTCTAATATGCTTTTTATTTGTACAACAAATTCTGTCTTCTTTACATCATAGATTCCTGTAGATTTACCAGGATAGCTCATCACTACAGTTTCCATTGTAAAGTCAGCATTTTGTTATTTTCTTCTGTAATGTTGAGGTTTTTGATAAACCCTCAGCCATGGGAATCAGTTTCAGTGTTTTCAAGCGTTAGCGTTTGTTAAATTTGTGAATAGAGGAGGCAGATTCGGTTTTATTTTTCACTGCTGACTGACATGTAGTTTTTGGGGGTTCTGCTTTTATACAGACTTCTGGCTTATGAAAATAAAGAAAATTTGTTTCTATTTTCCTTTAAAGTCCAAATGCTTTGTGTTAAATTGAATTTTAACCTAAAACCATGACTGTACAATTTGCATATGGTGAATTTGTCCTACTTTTTTCTCCTAGTTATGGCTGGTTTCTCCAGTTATGCGGTGCGCATGGCAAGACTGAGCTCCAGAATCTTTGGAGAGGTTGTCCGCCCCACAGACTCTAAATCAATGAAGGTGGTCCAGCTGTTCCAAGAGCCTCCACTGGCCAAGAGGAAGGAGGTGTATGAATGGTATCCTCATCACAAGGTTTACTATGCCATGACCCAGAAGCTCCGGTTCATGGGTCTGTTCAGGTAGTCAATTCAATTCAAAAATACTTTATTGATCCCAAAGGAAAAGTGATGTTGTTTTAACTCATATTAATTCTAATTCTTCAACGAGTTATTGTTGATGGTGATGGTTGTTGGCAGGAAAGATCACCTGAAATACGGTAGATCTAGAATGTGAACAATTTGGTGCTCAATATTATTGTTGGGTTTGAATCATCTGTTGCTCTTGGTAGTGATGAATTAAATCACAGATCAGACCTGCCTTTGAGTGTGACAGTATACAATACTTATTAACAGGAAATTTGAAAAAAGTGGTTTGTTCCAAAAATGTGGATAAAACAGTGGTGGAACAATAGAGGCACTGAATCCTTGCAGTGAGATTCAGGCTTCTGTCACACAGCAGGTCTCGATGCTCAATTCCAATTTTTATTTCTATTTTTATTATTTGCATTCTACTGAATGATTCAACTGCAACAATTGTGCGAAAGTAAAGATTGTGACTCTTTTAGCATTTAACATTGTTGACAATAAGCTTCTAGTAAAGTGCAAAAATGAATTGTTGCAAAATAATAAATTGAAAACATTAAACAAGGAAAAGACGAGAGGAGTAACTGCAACAGGCTGCATACACATTGGCGCACATACACTCAATCACTTATTAATGATCACAAAAAGAAACATCAAGCCTAAAAAGATAATGTTGCAACTGACTGAATGTTCTGTTATTTCTGTGAGAAATGTTTGAGTGTTTTTTAGTGTAGAATTCTGAAACATATAGTGGCATTGTTGTCACTTGCTATGGCAATGAGTCTGTTGCTAGGATAACGGCCCTGGGTTTGCTGTCACAGCACAGAGCTCCTCCTGCGGCTCCACAACTCAGATGTCTCGCTGTACGATTTTGTGACACTCACCTTAATATTAATAATTAGAACGGCATTTAGTTGCACAACTTTACAGACTTGTTCATTCGGAGCTGTTTTTACGTTTATTGCACTATTCATATTAGTCTCCATGTTTGCAATTTTCTGGAGCGCAAAGTGAAGCTCGACATCATTCATAGCAAGTATATTACCTTGACATTAACAAAGACACGGCGGGACAGGTCATCCGGGAAATTATGTACCTGGAAGGCCTGACTAAAACTAACTGGATATCAGGCACGTATCGAGGCTTATGTTTGCTTATTTCCAGTCCCAAATAAGCAACCTCACGCTCAAAATCAAGCCCCAAAGCACAGCCCGCAACTCATTAAATTTGTTAGTGACGTTAGAAAAAAACCAAGCCCAAAGCCGCTTATAATAATCAGGATTGGCCACCGAAACTCAAAATAGTTTCTGTTTTTCCAGCAACAAAGTGCGCATCTCCTTCCATTGTTTACATTTCTGTCGCTGCTGATACTGTCACATAAAAACAGCGGTCACTCCCCAAGACGCATAGAGAAAATAAAATTCAGTTACAAAAGAAAATAGTAACGCAAACTGGTTTCGATAATTAAATTAATCCTGATTATTAACTGTAATCTGACTACTGGATTTGAAATGGTAACGCATCAGATTACTTGAAACTGAAAAAAGTGGTCCGACGTCAGTAACGCGTTACTTAGTGATCTCATACTATTGGGATGTGAATGAGTATTGAATATTAAGGTATTCTGACTAGTAAAGTGAGCTGTGGATGCAATGACTTCATTTAGGAGCCTTATCTTCTTTTCAGAGATGAGCATGAGGACTTCAAAGAGGAGATGCGCCGCCTGAGGAACCTTCGAGGAAAAGGAACCCCTAAGAAAGGAGAAGGAAAGAGGGCGAGCAAAAAAAAATAAAGTGCATCTTTTTTACTTCTGCAGGAAGGAGGCTTTTGCTCCAATTGATCATGTAATCTTGATCAACATTGATTGATCATTTTTCAAAATAAACATTTTAAATTGCTCACTCATTTTGTTACAGACTTTGTTCTGTTAAACAGCTTCTATGATAAATCCAATGACATATTACACAAAAATTGCAAAGCCATGTTTTATGCAGACTGTTTTTATGAGATGTAAAGATTTCCACTTTTGGAAAAAAAACTTTTCTTCCATGAGAATTAAATCAGAATTATTATCCAAATAACTAAGCCTTTTTACTTTTTTTTCGTTTTGTTGTTGTTGTCTTTTTTTGATTACGGCTTGTAACAAAACCCCATAATTCAGTGATTCAGAAAATTATTTCAAAAAAATCATTAAAAAAAGAAATTTATAAATTCTGTGCCCTTGCTTATTGGATTGTCAAGAGTGTTGTCTTTCCAGTTGTCTAAGAGACAGTAAAGCCACAAAAGGTTATTTTAAAGCAAACCTACCATAGTCATAAAGAAAAAATACTTAGTATATTTCGAATACATTTACATTGGTGTAAGTAGATTTTAAGTATTACTGTAAGTGTACTACCTATAAATATATATGAAGTATACAAAAAGTATGTTGGTACCAATTTGACATAACTTTAAACTCACTTGAATATAATTATACCAAAATGCACTTTTAAGAAATATTATTAATATATTAAAGTATACTTTAAATATGTATTTGCCCAAGTGTAAATATACACTTGCTCAAGTGTATATTTAAGACATTTTAAATATGTTTAAAATATCTTTTAAAAATATTTTGTGTATGTTTTAAAATTATGCTCAAAATAGAATGTTTTAAAATTCACTTAACACTTACTATAAATTAAGAATTTCAGTTTGTTTTAAATTAAATCTTTATATATTTTAGTCTAATAAAGTATGCCTTATTAGTTGCTTGAATAATCTTTTACCATTTTTGTTAAAATAGCAAAGAATAAAAAAATTATCTTTATACTCGATGTACTTGTGAAGTAAAAATTGTGTTATTTCTTTTAAGAATTTTATTTTAATTATTTAGTCATTTAACATTAGTATTGTTCAGTCTGTTAAAACATGTAGGTCAAGGAGTCTCTGAAGAATCAGTTAGATAGGTTTCCTTTTGACTTCTCCTTGGAAAAGTTCTAGCAGGCTGTTATGGTGCCGGTGTTTGTTAACAGATAACAGACAGTTTAGGTAAATACAGTAAGATGGAATAAGCCCTAAGGTCTAACAAATTTCTCCATTGAATGTTAGAAGCTCAGAGTACGTACAAGGTCTAACAATGTTTTTGGTATGGAAAATTGTTCCATTAGCATCCTAATTTTTGGAAACTCCCATATTTTGAACGAGAAGATGTTTGTCAACTACATAATTAACTGACCTTTCAGTAAGGAGAGGTTGCATCCTGTCCATCCTGTGGCTACATGACTGGGCAGTAAACCTGTTCAACTGGAATTGACTCTGGGCCAGGGAGTGACCACATTGTGTAAAGAATCCTATATTGTGAGAGCTTGCAGCTCCAAGTCAGAACTGATTCCAGGTACAGCTGTTGTGCTGTGTTGCTGTGTGTTCGCCGTTTGCAAACGATGTGTTCATACCTCAAAATATCAAACATTGACACTTTTGTGACAGATGCTTCAACAAAAACAATACTTGTCTTTAACACTAAATGTAAGGAGGTATCTTCAGTTTTTTATATCTCTGAATATACTCAGAGAGATATAAACTAAAAACAGCTGTTGGGTAGTTGTTGTTACCCAATTCATTTTCAAATGTATGATGTAAGTGAACAGTATTAGCTCCAGTACACACTCCAGACCATATGGTGACAGTATTGCACGCTTTGTTTTTTTTTTAAGAGCACCATAAAAATAACAGCCAAAACATTGACGAAGATACCAGATGCTGTTCGAATTCACTATTTTTACTCGCATAATGCTAAATTAATAGTAGAAAGGGCCTTGATAATAGTTAGGTTTTTTAAAAATAAACTTTATTTACAAATAAATAATATACAATTATTTGTATAATAATTGTATTTGTATAATAATTGTATATACCTCCAGCACCTCCAGTATGCTCGAGGTGCTGGAATAACAAATCCACAGGGTTCCATGAGAAAAAAGAAAAAATAACTGTTTGCAAATCAAATTTATCACTTAAGATTATAAGTGTAGTCAGGTAGTAAACTTCGGTTGAATAAGTGTTGGTTTTCTTTTATGTTACAAATATCAATGCTCTTGAGTTACTTTGGTTCAATTATATAATTTTGGGTTTTTTACCTTTAAATATGTTCAGGTGGTTGGTCTCGGGTGCTGCACATTTTGACCACCAGAGAGTGGTGTTTTGAGGTGATTGCTGTTTCCCAAGACGGGGCAGGAAGTGCATGTAGTTCTTCCTGTGTTGCTGTGCTCAGTACTGAACTTGTATGTGCTTGTATGTATTTTATCTGCAGAAGATCGTTTTGGGCAGGAAATTAGTGAATATACACCTCACTTGTTCAAATATTTTGGTACATTCTCATTTATGTAATAAACAGTCAGTATTTTAATGAGATGGTGTTTTTTCCGAAGCGGATGGTTCAGGGAACCTGTGTGTGCGGTGCCGGTCGGCCATTCCCTGCACGTGACAGTGAGCTGTCTGATCATCGGTGTACTCCAGTATTAAGAGAGAACTGAGACGTTACTGTGGAATGAGAGTTGATAAAACAAGGCATATCACAGTTCCATGTGCTTTAAATCCGTGTGTTGAAATGCAGCTCTGTATATTTTGTTTGTGCAGCCTGAGGCCACTGCCATATTTCTTTACTTGTCTTTTATCTATTGTATCTTCTTTTTTTTGTGCATTTCCTATGTTACTTTGGAGATTGCCACATTCCATCAATAGTTACCTACAATTCAATACACACATGTTCTGATGGCTGAACAAAAGTAAGCAGAAGACAGCTTTGTTTAATCTGTCTTAACTGAAAATAACATATACTGTTTATTAGGAACCCCAGTTATTGTGTCCTGTGAGGCTAAGTATTTCCTGGGCTACATAATTTTCATTGTTTTAGAGGTGCACATTTTTAGAGTCCAAAAATCATCTTACATCAGCTCTAAAAACTGTGAAGTTGGGTTTGTTCATGCAATTTAGGAATGTATGTGAAACTTAGCCAACAGAATAAGAAAGTTTATAATGTATTCTTTCCCAGACATACTATTATTGAAAATACAAAAAAAAAAAACATGTTTAATGTTCAAAGGAATAAATATATTTCCGACTAAAGAAACTATTGAAGTCACATCAAAAAGTTTTGCTGAAAGGGGATTCCCAAAAAAGGTGGGGTAATGTTTCTTGTCCGATGTGACAAAAGGAACAAAGAGGACCAATATTTGGAAAATATTTCTTCAGTACCCTGTGTAAAATCCAGAGGAATACTATTAGCAAACCTGCTTCAATCTTTTTTTTTTTGGGAACAATCTTTATTCAGGTATTGATTGGGAACAAACACGGTTATTGCCAAGAAAGTATTTTTGTCTCAAATAAAGTACGGGAGGTGTCTCTTAAAATTTTACACAGGTTACTGAATAAATATATTCCAAATATTGGTAGGCTCATCCGAGCATTCAAACCTGCGGAATAAATTTAATACAGTTTCCCCCCCCCTCACCCGGTATTCTCCAGCTTGTGGGGGTACCTAGTTTTTTGGCACACGATGCCAATGTGCCAAGATGGCCGCTGCGGTCCCCGGGTTCCAGTGGACGCCATCCTTCTCGGTGGCAAAACCCTCAGGGAGAGCAGGGATGTGGCCGGGACAGGATCTGATAAAAAAGTTTTGATGCCTCAACATGGCCTGCTCCCGGTGACTGAGGAACGGCCCGAAGTTAACCTCTGGCACGAGGACCTGAGCCTGAGGGAATCTGGTGGAGGTGACCTGCAGGGTGGCCTTAAGCTCCACTAGAGGTGTGGTCGTGGTCCGTTGGCACCTGTTATTAAGGCCAAAAGATAAAATGTAAGATCACATGAGCCTCTCCACGAGGCTCCGGACTATGGCCGCCCACAGGAGCGCCTCTGCGTGTTTCCACTTGACCCTCGGGACTGCATCCACCTGGATATCCGCCGCATCAAACGTCGGAAAGTGGGCGACATTCGAATCTCCAAGAATCAGCCACTTCCGGGGTGATAGTGAGGCTCCAATCTCGGAGCTTATTCGGGGTGGAGAGATGTCGCGTGGGACGGCGGCACACCACAGCCCTGTCAGGCGTCCGGGGGCTCTGTCCTCGTCGGGCCCAGGAGCGTGTGTAACAGAGTTTAGGTTGTAGAATCCCACTTGCTTTATATTATCAGTGCAATGGGGAAATAGCGCCCCCCTCTCTGTGTGGCTGGTTATATGTTGCTGGCCACTGCACTCAGTGCCAGTCTGTGAAAGCTGCAAGAGAGGTGAGTTTTATTCTTCAGCACACAGCATAGAAAAGTGTTAGTAACACATAAAATATAATTTTTATTAACTTACACAAATATTGTGTAACTCCTATTTATGAGTTGTGTGCCCGACACCAATTTTGTACTTTTAGTTTTGTAAAACAGTGCAAAGTGCTTGTGCTAAGTTAAAACTGTTGTAGTGTGCTGAGGGAAGCTGAGCAGTTGCACTGATTTCGGGTTGAAATCAGTGCAACCCGAAATCACCCAGAACCTTTTGGTCTTCATTAAAAAACTACACAACGCAGAGTCGAGGGGTTACTTGGGTCAGCCTGGTACAGTGGAGTGAAGCAGAACCTGGTTACATGTGCGCCTCGTCCGAATCCCCTCAGTGAGGTTGGGGGAGGCCGAAGCCGCAGTGGCGGCCGTGGCATGAGCAGCGACAGGAGCAGCCGGAGAGGTGGCGTCGGGGCAGGAAGTCTCCCGTGGTGGCTGTCCGGCGGGGAGCTCCATCCCCTGAAGAAAAAAATCCATCTCCACCCCTGAGAGGTCCATTAGAGGTGACGAGGTGAAGGGCGGAGGCGGGCTAGCGTTGGCGACTGGGGTTATGGCCGGGCCCTCCAGAGAAACCAGCTGGTCCACGGCTGGATGCGGCACCATA